CCCCCCCGGCTCCCCCCTCCTGTCAGGGGCTTGCAGAGCCAGAAGGTCCCCCCTGAGCCTCCTTTTCTCCAGGCTGAGCCCCCCCAGCTCCCTCAGCTCCCTCATCTGAGTGACTCTCTGGACCCTACAGGAAAGGTCTGCCCTGCTGAGCACTGCTGTAGGCTTGGAGGAGGCACCAATATGAGCAAGACATTCCCTAAAAATTGAGAAACATTGGCAAGAAAGCAAGTTCTAAGGCAAAGAATCTTATTATGGGGGTTTCTCTTTCATCCAGGAAGAAGGTAAATATATTTAGTGGGAAAAGCTTGCTGTCCTCTCTGGCTGGGGGCGGGAGAAGGCGCCGCTTTGTTCGTGCAGCAGTTCAGCTGTCGGGATTAGCAGAGCTCAGCTTGCAAACGCTGTGCTCAGCAACAGCTGCTGCTATTTTTGGTGGTTTGAATGGATCTAGCTGGGAAAAAAGCAAGGACCTTGGGCATACCCAGCAAGCTGAAGCATTTGCAGTTCAGCTCCCGAGTGCTGCTGTAGAGCTGGTTATTATTTAATGTGATGTGAAGATAGCCAGGTTTCTGTCTGAACAATGCACATGTGGTGAAATGAACAGCAAGCAAAAACCCCCTGGGAAAAACAGCTTTGTCATTATAGAGGCTGTGCCCACACAGGGGGTTCAACAAGAGACATGGGCAGCAAGAAATCAGTTGGTGAGTCATGGACACAAGAGTTCCAGAAGAGTTGGTGTGAGGAGAGGAGCGACAAAAAGGGGGAGGGAAGGGACCAGAAATTCTTCTAACTTGCAAAAACCAAAGCTGGGGAGAGCTGGTGTTTGCCTGTGTCCATCCCTTTGGGGACTCAGCTGCTGCTGCAGCAGAGCCGTGGAAATCCAAGGCTCCAGCAGGTCTCCAATGGATCGATAGTCCCGGGGCCTTTCAGCCCTGAGATGCTGCTTCCCATGAGTGAGGGCTGAGCTGGGCAGCGAGGGTGGCTCCTCTCCTTTCCCCATGGAAAACAGCACACTTGGCCATCTCCTGCAGGGTTTCTTTGGGAGGCTGAGCTTGCTGCCCATCTGAGCCGAGCCCCAAAGCCCTTCTGTGGCTCTGTGGGCTGGTTTTCTCCTCATAGTCAAAGGACTATGTTCTTACCAGCCCGTTCTCATCTGCTCAAGGTCAGTCCTGTTTGGTTGGGCTTTTTTAAAATAAAAAGTCCAGATGACTCCTAGATAATTCTGAACTGAGATTGAGGCTAGACATGGAGGGGTTTTTTTGTATCAACTAACACAAGCTTAATATTAAAAGCTATTCTTTGTAAGAATGATAGAAATGGCCTGGAGTTCCCCAGCTTTGCATCATAAAAATAGTCCTCACAGTCACCTCATTTGGCAGAAACATCAAAGCAGGGAGAGGACTCAGGAGTGCTGGAGAAGTAGAAGACTACAGGGCTCATTTTCCAGGTGGACAATCTTAAATTTGAGCCTTAAATTCCGTACCTGGCCAGCTTGTTTTGGTGCCTCAACAAGTTTAATGCAAATTAAGCCCCCCACAGTCTCGAATTCCAGCAAACCCTCTGCCTTCTGAAGGAGTGGGAATGGAAAATGGATCTAAATTCTCCAGTGGCATTAGGTCAAAGTCTTGCATTAGCTAATTGCAGCTGCCTGGCTGTTCTATATTTAAACATTTGTGGCAGTGGTAACATCATCAAACACCAAACAAAACCACTGCCTGCTACTTCCTCATGGAAATTTCCTTCCCTGGACTTACTTTAAAACTGTGTGTGAAAGATGGTTATTTCCCCAAACTCTTTATCCCTGAAAAAAAATAGTAATGAAATGAAAGAAATAGCCCTTTTCACAAAAATTAGGTAGTCAGAATCCATGGGATTAAAAACCAGAAGGGTACACACTGGGGTTTATTCATAGCACCCTTTATTCTCTAATTTTGGAATTTATTCATCTGAGCCTCCACCAGGTTTTGGTGTTTATTTTTTACACTGATTAACATCAGGAAAAATAGGAATTTGTGTTTCAAAAAGTTCAGAGTGGGTTTTTATGTGTCATGTCCAAATCAACCAAGAAATGTTCATTTTTGCTGCTGGAGCCGCTTTCTTGGTTCCACTGTTGGTTGTTATTTGTCTGTGGCCAAGCTGATGTTAAAAAATACGGGCTGGAAGAGAACAAATCTGCCCTGGAGCGTCTAAGAGGGATTTGCATGGATTTTGGGGTGGAATAATTTGGGTGGCAGCTGATGGTGCTTGTCCATCAGCACATAGAAGGTCCGATGGGAAGCCAAGAAATCTGGATTGCCATCAAGAGCAAGAGGGGTGAGTTCTCCAGAAGTAAATGCTTAGTCCTGCTAAACCTTCATTATTTTTTGCAAGTTTTGGTAAATTCTTCTCAGCCCAGAGTTTACCTTAATTTTCATCCCCCATGTGTCACCTCCCTGGTTTGTTTTAGATGGGAAAATATCAAACCATTTCGTTCCAACAGTTCAAATAAAGTCCGTGTGTCATTTGTTCAAAATGAAACATCAAAAAATATATAAAACCCAAACTCTAACCCCAAACCAAAAATCCTTTTATCACTTTCAGTTGGCCATAAATGCAGAATTTTTCTGCTTTGAGCCATGGTTGCCCCAGCTCAATAAATACCAGGGCAGCAGAGATGAGGGAAAATGTTTTGGTTTACTTTGTGTGGATAGGTCTTTGTGCCTCGTCTCCCTGAAGATGAAATGGCAAACCTGGGCTTCCAGGCAAAGATGATAATTAGGGGTGTGAAAAGGGAAGTTTCATGTGGGCTTGGAAATGTTTGTGGCTGTGGGAAAACCAGGAGCCACAAATCTGGCTTCAGTATGTACGTATATATGTGTGTTTGTGTGCATAAATATGGATAAAAAAGAGTTTATTGATGAAAAGTTTGGCCATAGATGGGTGGACTCTTGTTTATTAGGGTGGTGGAATTGTCTTTGCCACCTGAGAACCAACCTTTTGGGGTTGGTTTCCTTAAGCTCTGGGTGTCCTTGTGGACATCAGGGTCCCAGGTGGATCTCTGACAAAGAGGGAATGCTGAGGGAATTGTGTTTTCCCTGCCCCATGATGTGGACAAAAGAGATCAATCAGAAACTGTTCAGGGTTATGGTGGGAGGGCTGGGGAAAGGGTGGTGGAAGGTTTGGACAACGCCCTCAGGCACAGGGTGGGTTTGTTGGGGTGTCCTGGGCAGGATCAGGAGTTGGACTGGATGATCCCTGGGGGTCCTTCTAACAGAGGACATTCCGTGATCCTGTGAAGGTGCCACGTCTCGTACAACCCACATTTCTCTTACCAAAACTACATAAAAACAGATATTATACTAAATAAACTGGGATTGCATGACTGTTGTCTCCTAACCTAAAAGGCAGGTTGGGTTTCTGGTGGGAATCAGTGACAGACAAGCTGCTTCCCTGCTGGCAGAAGCCAAATTCTGACAAGGAAACCAAAACAGAAGTTGCCAGATGGCACCTCTTACTATAAGGGGGGAAAAGCATTTAACTGGCAATGTTATTGTGAGTGGCTGTCGGGGGAATTCAGCAAATTAGGAGGCCTGGTAGGTCAGTGATGAGATTCCTTTCTCCTTTGGAGGGTTGGCCACCATCCAGCCGGCTCTGGGAGAGGTACCTGTCCCTGGGAGTGGCTCAGGGTGCAGGAGTTACCAGGGCTACACCAGCAAACAAGCAAACAGCTCCTGCCAACCTCGTCAGGGCAGTCAGGCTAAAAATAGGCTGTGGAGGCTTAAGGTTAAAAGTAAAGTTGTGCCCGGGCAGTGCTGTTGAAAAGCCAGGTCTGCTCATCCTCTGCAAACATCCAAGGACTGCTGTTCCCTGCCAGAGCCAGTTCTGATTGGCTGTGGAAAAAGGCTCTGGATGTTAACTAGCAACAATCTCCTGACCAACAGTTGGCTTCCCCCTAAAAATGTGGTGTTTTAGGAATGGCTTTTCAGTTTAGCAGTAAGCCGGGTCTTTAGAAAGACCAGGTTCGTCCCAAAGCGGAGCTGATGGCTGAGAGGTGAGGCAGGTTGGGTGGTGGGGTTGTTTGGAGGTAGGGTGGGTCCCCAGGCAGCTGGACTCCTGTGTGCCCTGTTTCTGAGCCTGGTATTCCCTGCTGTGCCCAAGGTCCAGCTGAAGAGCGAGGAGTCGAAGACGTTCGCCATGAAGATCCTGAAGAAGCGGCACATCGTGGACACGCGGCAGCAGGAGCACATCCGCTCCGAGAAGCAGATCATGCAGAGTGCCCACTCCGACTTCATCGTCAGGTACCACCCCCCTGCCTCACAGACCACCCCAGCCTTCCCTGGAACCACACAGGGATAACCCAGCCAGCACCCAAAACCCCTTAGCCTCAGCTTCCCTGCCGGGGACTGTCCATAAGGTGCCTGGAATAAGGTCTTCTCCAGGCAAATGTGAGATTATTCCTCCCAAGGGGGATGTCCACCCAAGCCTGAACTTTACTCAGGTCTTAACTGGGTTGTGTGCTGTGCTCAGGGGGCTTTGTGGCTCCTGGAGCAGCTGCACTCCCAGCAGCCTGGGCAGAGCTTGCCGGAGCTGGTGGGGGATGCTCCATGTACATGTATCCCAGAATAGTTTGGGTTGGAAGGGACCTTAAAGCTCATCTCATCCCACCCCCTGCCATGGGCAGGGACACCTCCCACTAGCCCAGGTTGCTCCAACCTGCCCTTGGACACTTGCAGGGATCCAGGGGCAGCCACAGCTTCTCTGGGCAACCTTTGCCAGGGCCTCCCCACCCTCACAGGGGAGAATCCCTGTCCCAACCCTAAGCAGATGTGGTTCTTCAGGGAATGAAATCAGGTGCCAGGCATTTTTGGTTGTTGTTCCCTGGCTCCTCGAGGACTGGGAGTGTCTGTCAGCAGGAAGGAGAGCTCAGGGTAAGAGCAGTGGGTGGTGAGGAGCTCTGGTGTGTCACTGAGCTGGACCCACCTGAAAGGGCACCTAAGCCAAGGGTTCTTCATCCCACCCTCAGAGATGCCTCAAACACTTGCCTTTGCTGGAGGAGCTCAAACCCTCTCCCAAATTTTGCCCCAGACAAAGCCCTGGATAAATGCAGAGGGAAGCACATGGTACCCATCGGTCACTGAGGGGGTGTTTCCTTCCTGGGCTGATCCCTGGGATTCCCCCAGAGCCCATGGCTTCAGCTCTGATTCATGGGGGACAACTGCAGGGTGACACCCTTTGGGCTCTGGTGTTGGATTCCCAAACATGCTCCCATTCCCTAGGCCGGAGCCAAACATACCCCGGGGCTATTTCAGCCTCTGGATTGATTTTCGGAAGCCTGAGCTGTGTCGGGATGGGGATGGAAAGGAAGGTGTCCAAGCAGAGGGACAGTTGCCACCATTGCCAGAAATACCCTTCCTAAATAAAGCCTGAGCCTGCAAACGTTTCCTAATGGAGCCGCTGATCTTCATGGCTAATAAATGAAATCCTCCTTCATTCCCACTTCTCACCCTTTCAGCAGGCAAGGAAAACAAGGAGGTGTCAGCTGGAGGTCTCCTCTTCCCATATCCTGCAGTGATTCCCACCTTTTACAGGAACAACCCTCCCTGAACTATATTTAATGCCCCATGGAAACCCTGCACTGGGAAGGGATTTTCTAAGTCATAAAGCCCAACCTTTTCCTCTTGCTAAAAAATACCTGGTTTATCAAACTCAGTGTCTGCTTTTCCCCCTCACTCCTCCTTTTGAACATCCAGGGGGATTTGAAGTTGTTCTGTGATTTTTATTCTAAAATTCTTTACAACCTGCTTATTCCCCTTCTTGGGCCAGATGGGATCATATTTTTCCAGGTGCTGTGGGCACAAATTTGAACACCTCAATAGATTAATTGAGTTTGGAGATAGTGGGTGAAAGGTGGGTTTAAAATGATCTTGGAGCAAGGATATCAGGAATATCAATATTCTGTTTGGTTATGAAAATGTATTAAACCAGAAGAGGCCAAGCAGCACTAAATAAAATTGACTCGTAGATAAACTCAAATATTGAGGTGAGTACGGAAATAAATAATAAAATACATAAATAAAATAAATAAAAAAGGCATTCAGATATGGTGACATTTACAACTGGAGGCTGTTTAATCTGCCCATATAATGCCCTTTCATCCTGTATAAACTTTAGGCTTCCATGACAGTTGATAAATTATATTTGATTATTTTTTCATCTGCACATTTTAGGCCAGATTTGATGCCCAGAAAATTTTCTGCCAAGCAGGTCTTTCTTAGCTAGAGCAAGTCTTTCAGCAGCATTTAAATTACCAAGCAATTAAAAGTATGTGGTTACTCACATTTTGGATTCTTGAAGGTTTCTGTAAACCTTCATGTAGATGAAATGTTTATTAAGATAAGTTATATTTTGGCCAACTGGCAAGAAGTGTGGTTTGTTTTTTTTTTTGGTAAACCCATAAATTTTAACCTTATGTAATGCTCAGTTATAGCTGACCTTTGATTTTATATATATATATATATGTATATGTATATATATATATATATATATGTGTATATATATATATATATACACAGGATACATATATAATATGTGATATATAATATGTGTTCTGTATAATATATACAGAATACATATACAGAATTACATATAATGGTCATGTTATAACTGAGGTTTTCAATGTCAACACAGAGCAAGGAGATAATAATATAAAATAACAATACCAGAGTAAGGAAAGAGCTGAAACACTGGTTTCTTTTTTTTCCTTCAAATTTGGTTGTGGCTGCAAATAATCCCTTTTAGGCACGGAATATGGGATGAGCCCTGAGCAGACTCAATCCCCAAACTCCTGCCTACATCCCAGCTGCTCCTGCCAGGATCTTTTTTGGGTTAAACATGCCAAAATAGAGGGAAGAAGTGCTGCTGAGCCATGTCCTGGATGCTGCAGAAACACGGACAGGAGACAATTGTTGTCTGGATGGTGATGGGAAAGCTCCTCCCAGCCAAGCTGGAGGCTTTGCCACGTGCCTTCTGTTAATAGTTACCTGAAAATCTTCCAAAGGGAACCAAATCCTGCTGTGTTTTCCCCCTGATCCATCCCACAGCTCCAGAGAAGGTATTAATAGCTGGATTTAGCCCTGGCTGGGAAGAGCTGGAATCTGCAAACCACCTGATTTTACTGATGTCACGTCAGCTCTTTGGTTTTTTACACTCCTGGGAACTCCCAGGGATGTGGAATTGCACTGTCACAGAGGATCCCTCAGCATTCCCTTCTCCTGGCAGCCTGGATTTTTCAAACTGATTTCTTCCCAGTATCCAGGCTGGAAGCCTGAATGGATACACCCACGTGGGATCCTGCCTCATTCCCTTGGTCACCTTTTTCCCATTTTCCCCTGTTTTTTCTCCAGAATTAGATTGGGATCAAGGCTCTGAAGCAGCACATCCACATCCCTCTTTCCCCGTGACTGATTTTAGGGATCAGGATGGATTTTATCCCAAATTTTGCTTTTATTTTTGCCATTTATCAGGGATGTTGCCCTGGGACCCCGGTCTTCCCTGTTCCCATTCCCCATCCCATTCCCACATTCCTGTTTTTCTCTGCTTTTCCCCCAGAAGCAGGATTGGTTCGAGGCCCTGAAGGGACACTGGGGGAACACCCATATCCCTCCCTATTATCCCTGTTTTGGGATCAGGGTGGTTCCCCTATTGCTGACCTTTTCCCTGACCCCATTCCTGTGGATTTTTCCCATTTTTCCTGTTTTTCCCCCAGAATCAGGTTGGGATCGAGGCCCCAAAGCAGCACCGGCATCACATCCATGTGCTGGGGCTGAATCCTGGAGGAGGATCCCAGTTTCCCCTGGTTCCCACCACATTCCCAGAGCTCCCTGACACTCTTTTTTCCCATTTTTCCCCGTGTTCCCCCCAGAAGCAGGACTGGATCAAGGCCCTGAACTGGCAGATGGAGTGGCACCGCTTCCACATCCACTTGCTGAGGGGTCCCATGGATCCCTGACCCCATTCCCAGGGATGCCCCCGTGTTCCCAGGGAGCCCTGACCCCTTTTCCCATTTTCCTGTTTGTTTCCCCCAGAATCAGGTCAGGATCGAGGCTCTAAAGTGGGCCCTGTTCCATGTGTGGATGCTGGGGATGAATCCCAGGGGATCTCAGGGGACAATCCCGGGGCAGGATCCTGGTGGATCCCAGTTCCCTCATGAAAAATGATCCATATTTAGTGAGTTACTTACCAAAGTAACACTAAAATTAAGTAAAAAGAAAAATTCTCTGTTTTTTCCCCCATAGTTTCTTTTATTCAATACCATTAAACACATACATAAACATATAATTAAGTAATATAATTAAATAATCATTAAATATAATTAAATAATCATATTCAACACAGGGCATGGCTTTTAGAACATAATTTAAACTGGGTTAACAAAGCCTGAGGCAGTTTTTGCTCCACATTCCTACTGGAGGAAGGGGAAGAGCACTTTTAGCCACCTGCATGTCAGTGGGTTCTCCTTAAACTCTACCAGTGGGTTCAGGCTCTGAAATGAATCCCAAATCCTTGGAAAGGATCGCAGGGAAGGAAGATGCTGATCTGAGGAATAAAATGAAATAGATCTTACTGAAAAAAAAAAAAAAAGGTGGGAAAACTTCTCCTTCAGGCACATCTGGAAAGCCCAGTGGCAGGTTATGCCCTTAGAGGTGGCACATTCCACGTGTCACCCCTGGAGCAGAGGTGACCTTTCCTTCGGAGCTCCAGGACACACGTCACCACTCCCATGCTGGAATATCTCCCACCCGTGTTTAAATGATCTCCTGACATTTTTACACCCCCTGGGTATTCACAGAAGCCTGGGTTTTCCTTGGTGTTTTCCAAAGGGAAAAACACAGGGATCTGTAGGTATCGCCTCAGAAGTCAATTGGAAAAATGAAAGAAAAAGCCCTTGATGTCTTGTCTTCCCCATAGATTTTATTGTCTACAGATCCAAACTGTTGAACCCAGAGCTGATGAGGAGAAGAGAGGGAATTCAGTGAATTGCCTCCTTCCTTGCCATAATACCACTTTTTTCCTTCCAAATTCTCCAAGGGGATTTAACATCACCGTGGGAAGTTTAGTTTTCACTGACTTTGTACTCTTTTAGAAGCTGGGATGTGAGTGCTACCACAGAAATCAGTATTGCCCAGTACACCCAAACTGGAGCTGATTCAGCCTCTGGGGGTTTAAACC